AGGGGCTCCAGGAGAGCTGCAGAGGGACTGGGGACAAGGATGGAGGGACAGGAGCCAGGGAATGGCTCCCAGTGCCAGAGGGCAGGGCTGGCTGGGAGATTGGGAATTGGGAATTGTTCCCTGGCAGGGTGGGCAGGGGCTGGGATGGAATTCCCAGAGCAGCTGTGGCTGCCCCTGGATTCCTGGCAGTGCCCAAGGCCAGGTTGGACATTGGGTCACCCTGGGACAGTGGAAATGTCCCTACCATGGCAGGGGGAAGATTATATGACCTTTAACATCTTCTTCCCAACCAAACAATTCTGAGTTTCTGGAATTAAAACCTTATAGCTGATGACCTCAGCCTTTTGTGGAGGAGGACAATAGTGGGAGGTGAAACAGGAGGGAATTTCTGATTTTGGATTGTACCTGTCTCCTCTGTCAGAGTGTCTGTGGGGTGTTTCCTTAGCTCTGAGGGCTCTGGGCTGTGTTTGGAGCATAAAGGGGAATCGCCCTGCCCAGCTGCAGGGGTGTAATCTCCCCAGGTTTGTTCAGCCCAAAGTTGCACATTTAGCTCCAGGCTGTACTTGGTGACCCTGTGCAGCTTCACCAGGCACTGCTCTGTCATCACTGACTCAGAGTTTGTCTCTGGCAGCATCTCACAGCTGCCTGACCAGCCCTGTGCTGTGTCCTCCTGTCCTGATGATACAATTGTCTGGAAATGAGGATCCCTGTGCTTGGGAATTGTGCAACTCACCCTCAGAGGCTGCTAAAACTGGTTTTGTGGTGGCTTGCTTCACTCTGGGACAGCTTTAACTTGGACCAGGTCTTGCAGTAGCTACAGCAAGTGAGAGGTTTCCTGCACTGAGTTCAAAGGTTGGGGTTGGTTGGACATTGGCTCCAGGACAGGGATTTCTGGGGATTCAGCCCTCCCAGAATGCTGGCTGTGTGTTTAACAGCTCAGTGTTGGCTCCACAAAGGAGAGGAGATCTGCAGCACGAGGGAGGGGAGGCAGAACACCTCAGCTCCCTCAGGATTCTGGGTGCCTGCAGTTGTGTCAAGTGGAAGGTTTGAGGAATACAGGGCACAGGTGGCAAAAAGATGGTCAGGAGCTGAAGACACCTGCAGAGAGGTCCTGGAACCTCTGTCCTTGGAGGTGTCCAGAAGGTCCCTGAGCAGCCTGATGTGATTGCAGAGTTGGATGCAAGCTGGCCCTGCTCCCACGGGGAACTGGCATTCCAGCTTTTCTCACAATGCCCTCTGTATGAATCCCTTGGGGCCTTCAGATGGTCCGTGCTGAGCCTTCCCACTGTTGGTCATAACCCAGAAAAGCCAGACAGGAGCGGGGAATGGAGTGGGAGCAGTTCAAAGGTCCACCACGTTGTGTCTGCTCCTGGTTTCCCTGCATCCTCATCCCTCAGGGATAACTTGTGCTGTGTTCTCTGCTCTCCCCAGGGCCAGGAGTGAAGACTCCTGAAGCAAGAACAATCGAGTACCTGGAGGAGGTGGCCATTGGCTTTGCCAGGGGACTGGCCAACAAGACTGTGTCTGCCAAGAGATCCAGAGGGCTCATGCAGAGTAAGTCAGCAGGGAGAAATCCCAAGGGACAGCAGGGAGTGTAATCCATCTTGGCTTCTCCAGGATGTGTTCGTGCTCCTGCTTAATTCCATTTCAAAAGCAAGTTGTATTTCACGTTGGAATCATCTCTTGAGCGATGTAGAGAAAATATTGCCCTGCAGATCTGGGCTTTGGCAGGGCTGGACGTGGTGGCTCCTGAGGTGACTCCCTAAGGAGTGGAGGGAGCAGGTGCCTCCAGGGATGTCCATCTGCAAAGTTTTGGTGGCAGGTTCTGTCCCTGGCTCGTGAGCTCAAGTGGGAAGAGGCACACGGGACTGCTCCATGCTGATCCTCAACAGCACAGCCCAGAAACGGGGACATCTGTGGGAATTCTGCTTCCTGGGGCTCACTGTGTCACCTCTTGTGTTAGGAGGACACTTCAGCCCTCAGTGAGACTTGTCCATGGAATAATCCATGGAAAACCTGTGAGCAGCCCCTGCTGCCTGTGCCTGGGTTTCAGGTGCTGGAGATATTCACATTTGTGTTCCCTCACCTCTGCAGTCCACCCTGGCAGGCTGGCTGTGCACAGCACTGTGCTGACCCCTGTTCTGTCCCACCTTGCAGGGCTAACAGACTATGCCATGGCTCTTCCCTTCGTCAGGCAGCAAGTTTACAAGACAGTGGAGAGCAAAGTTCAAAAGCAAACCAAAGGGCTGTACCCTGCTCCTCTGAAGATCATCGAGGTAACACCCCTGCGAGGTGGGAGCAGCTGCAGGGCAGGTGGATCTGTGGGAGAACGTGGGACAGGCAGAGGGAGACCAACATCCTGATCCTCACAGAGATCAGTCCTGAGGAGTGCTGGCTGTGGGGTAGAATTCAGGATCACTGCCCAAATTATGATCACCAGTTCATGGGTACTGGTACCAGTGAGGGGTAGAGCAGGAATCCCAGCTGAGGGAAGGCTTAGCTGGAATATTTTGTCCATGAGACTTTCAGCTGCAGTTTTCACAGGTTTTCTCTACAGTCTCTGAAGAGTTCAGGAGACCTGTTTGACACCATAAAAATAGAAATTGCCATAATTTTCACAGCATTAACTACATATTAGTATGCATAAAGTATTAACTTTAATGCTTCATTACATAAAGTATTAATTTTATTAGTCCCCTCTGTTACACAGACATCCTGTTACACTCTGTGAATGAATCCTTACTGTAAAACAAGTTTTCACTACTGAAGTTGTTTCCTAAACTCCTCTAAAACCTGTGAAGGGTTTGGAGATCAGTGACATTACAGGAGCACAATTCCTAAAACCACGGGGAATGGCTAAAAATTAACCTGGTGGTAAACTCCTCACCTCTCCTGTGCTAGAAGGACAGGGTGACACAGCTCTGCTAAGAGCAGCAGGGACAGGACTCAGGGATCTGAAATGTGCCTTGAATTTTGGGGAAGGGTCGCTGAGACAGCAGGAAATCCTGTTAAATTGTGGTTTTGCAGCATGACTGAACTGTGGTGTGTCTTTACTGCTTTTGGATTAGGTCGTAAAAACTGGTCTGGATCAGGGGAGTGATGCTGGATACCTCATTGAAGCCCAGGTAAGGAGAGGAGATCCTGGCAGGGATCAGGTCCTGCTGTGGTGCCTTAAAAACAGAGGCTAGACAAGAGTTAAGAGGATTAAAGTGGATATTTATTGAAGTGCCTTCAGAGGCCATAGCCTGGCAGTACCTGGATGGCTTCAAGATGAAAGCAAGAGGGCTTGGCCAGGAGATCTCACATTTTTATAAGTTTTAGTGCATTTGTATATAGGAGTTAACTGTCCAATTAATAGCTTCAAATTATGAAGTTTGATCCTCCTTGCTTGCTTGCCCACCCTCCTCTTCCCACATTGTTTATGCTTTGGGCCTGAAGTTTGAAGATGTTGTCCTTGAATCTCCTTCTAGAATAGGATTGTTTTGTCTTCACCATCCTGTCAAAAGATCCTAGTGGTACTTAATATAAAGCTAAAAGCTGCACACCAAACCAGAACAGAAAAACTTAAAACCCAAGGTATCAGATGTGGTCAGGGGATCTGGGTTTACCCCACCAAGGGTTCCTCACAGCCTGCTGCTTATCCCATCCCACCCCCTGCCATGGGTAGAACACCTTCCCCTACCCCAGGCTGCTCCAAGCCCCATCCAGCCTGGCTTTGGGCACTTGCAGGGATGGGGAACCTCAACACAAAGCACTCACTGTGGGTGGGTGATGCTGCTCCTCCTGGATGGGCAGAGCTGAGCTTCCACACCCCCCTGTAGGAGCTGGCTCACTCATCTGACCATGCTGGCACGTGGGCTTCGTGTCCTAAACACCCTCCAGTCCTGCTTGAGCTTTGCTGGCACACAGGAAAAACTGGAATACAGTTTAATTGAGGGTGTAGGACACACTGTGGCTCGATCAGGCAATTGTCCACTCCAAAAGCTTGTGTGAGACCCATTTATCCCACACACTGAAAAATTCTTTGTTTTCCTCAACCCTCCTCATCCCTCCATTTCTCTGCCATAATAAACAACCCATCCCTAATTATTTTTTTCCTCACTGGTCCTGGTTTGGCCACACTTGTGCTCAAATTTTTTGTTTCTGGTGCCACAGAGGCAATTCTGGCTGTGCACAGAGTCACAGGTGGGGTTAGCTGGGCACTGCCAGCTCTGCAAGATTGAATCCCCAGCAGCCCCACATTTCCATCTCATTATCTCTGTATTTTCCAAGGTCATTGCCCCTCAAATGCTGATGAAATCCATCCATCTCCCACTTCCCTGATGTGCTTTGTAGCTCCTTTTGTTCCCTTCTGGTGCCAAGGCCTGTCTTGAGCTGTAGCTGTCCCCTCAGCAGTGCCCTCCTGGCTGTGCCCCATCCCTGCTGGTTGTGCATTCCACCCACGTTTGGTCTGGTGCTGAATAAAAGCCTTGGGATACTCTGTTCCTTACAGAAAGAATGAATGGGGATTTTTTTTTCCCCCAGAACAGCAGCAGGATGGAGATCTTCCCAGAACCCCTGAAGAATAATAAGTGTCAGTGTTGTGGCTTTTTTACTGCCTCCCTCTCTCTCTCCCCCAGGACAGGAGTTTGCAGATTCTCTTCTAGGCTTTGTTTTGGGTATTTGAACTGGCAGGGCAGTGGTGAAGGAAGGTGCAGCCTGCTCCAAACCTTATTCCCTGATTTTCCTTGGCAGACTTGGCTCTGACAACCTTTGTTTTGTGTGTGCTTGTGCTTTGTGTTCCTCAGAACATTGTGCTGGGTGCTGGGAGGTTATGCAGGCCTGGGATTTTGTTGCCTGTGATCCTCTGAAAATAGGATCAGGCTGCTGCTGTCAGAGAGAGCTGATCTGTTTGTAAGGATTTTTGACAAAACCTTTGGACAGGGTGCTCCACCTGGATCTGTGGGGACAGTGGCCCCAGTTAATGTGGGGGAGGAAGGATCTCATGTCAGGGAAGTCCAGTCCTGGCACTGAGGAACTGGAATCATCAAATCCCAGAGTGATCTGGGGGGGAAGGGACCTTAAAGTCCATCCAGTTCCACCCCCTGCCATGGGCAGGGACACCTCCCACTATCCCAGGTGGCTCCAAGTCCCATCCAGCCTGGCCTTGGGCATTGCCAGGGATCCAGGATGGGAACCCTGTGCCAGGGCCTGCCCACCCTGCCAGGGAACAATTCCCAATTCCCAGTCTCCCACCCAGCCCTGCCCTCTGGCACTGGGAGCCATTCCCTGTGTCCTGCCAGGGAACAATTCCCAATTCCCAATCTCCCACCCAGCCCTGCCCTCTGGCACTGGGAGCCATTCCCTGGCTCCTGTCCCTCCATCCTTGTCCCCAGTCCCTCTGCAGCTCTCCTGGAGCCCCTCCAGGCCCTGCCAGGGGCTCTGAGCTCTGCCTGGATCCTTCTCCTCTCCAGGTGAGCCCCCCCAGCTCTGCCTGGATCCTTCTCCTCTCCAGGTGAGCCCCCCCAGCTCTGCCTGGATCCTTCTCCTCTCCAGGCGAGCCCCCCCAGCTCTCCCAGCCTGGCTCCAGCCCTGCAGCAGCTCTGGGGGCTCCTCTAGGCTCTCTGCAGCAGCTCCAGGTCCTTGTGCTGCTGAGGAGGAGGTGGTGCAGGATGAGCCCAGAAGTTGCCTCTCCTCAGGGGTGACCTGGGCCCTTGTCCCTTTTCTGTGCAGGTTGCTCAGCTGTGCAGTCACACCGTGCCCGTCTCCCCCTTGCCGTGTTTTTGTGTGCTGGCACTGAGAGATCTGTTTAATGCCAACACCTCTGCCTCCCTCTTCCCTTTCCTCCAGAGCTTTGGCCAACTTGCAGTGACCAAGGAATCCAAGGCACTGATGGGGCTCTACCACGGGCAGGTGCACTGCAAGAAGAACAAGTTTGGGACGCCTCAGAAAGAGGTCAAGTAAGTACCAGTGTGGGATGCCTGAAGGAGCAGTTGCCCACTCTAGAAGGCTCCTGAGTGGGCTGGAGAGCTGTGATCAGGGCAGAGGTTTCCAGCCTCCAGAGCCTGACCCACTGCAGTTTGGAGGCCTCACTGCCCTGTGGCCTCACTCAGGTGGTGCCTGGGTGGATGACAGGAGCTGTGTGACTCTGCCAGCAGTGATGGTGATCTATTAAAAAAATATGGATATTGATCTAGTACCGATATCCAACTGTGATGGACAAAAACTCTCTAAGTTTAAAGTTAGAAAGTGTGTGTTTATTCTACGCCGGGCAGTGTGTGGGATAGCTCCCAAATACACACCTCACCTTCCAGGTGATTAGAGTCTTTTTATCCATACAAGTATTGAACACCCAAAATACAAATACATATTCATAATTTTGGTACATCCCATTCCCCACTTCGTATGCTAATTATTCCAAAACCTATTAAGCATGTGTAGTTTGTCCCTTGAAATGGGTCAGTGTCCCTTCCATGGGGAGGTGTCCCAAAATGAGGAAGTAAATGAAGTCTTCCTCATTCTGACCTTTCTACCTTTTCAATGCAAATCTGGCAAATGAACTCTTGGTAGAACTCCCATTCCTTGTCTTCAATTGGTTTCAGAACAGAGGAGGCCCACAATTATCTTATGTTCCTAAAAGCTATTTGTCAGTTTGTGTATTCTTCATTATAAACCCAGCTAACTAAACATTGTGCTGACAAGCAATCAATTATTAGTTAACTACTAACTCCTAACTTCATCAAGGCCTACTCATTTATTTTAATTAACTCTAGTAAGGCTTATTTCTAACTAAAATCTTAGCTCCTCTAAAATCTCTAAATTCCTTAAAGTTTATGTTTCAGTGGGAGTCACCGTGTCCATTTGGTCCTTCCCTGCAGGACTCTGGCTGTGCTGGGAGCAGGGCTCATGGGAGCTGGGATCGCCCAGGTTTCCGTGGATAAGGGCATCAAGACCATCCTGAAGGACACGACACAGAAGGGTCTGGACAGAGGCCAGCAGCAGGTCTACAAGGGGTATGTCAGTTCAGGGGGTTTGCTCTGGTGGCACTGGGCTGGCTTTAGTCACAGTTCTTCTGTGCTGTCAGCATCAGGAGCTCCTGGCACTGCTGTTCTTCTGGAGGAGCTACTGGATGTCACGGAAAAGTTTTATTTTAATAATGTCCCCTGCAGTGTGCTGGGCCTGCTGTGAGATAGGCCCAGCCTTAGCTCCTTAGGTAGGCAGAGACCTCAGAGTCAGCAGTAACTTCTAGTGGTAAGAAGAGAGTGATTCTGGCTGCCTAAAGGTCCATGGCAGAGGAGGCATTCCAGGGTTTTCTTCCTGGGTTTCTTGCCCTGTTCTCCTGGCTCTGCAGTAATGGTACTCAGCTGTGTGTCATCAGGAATGGCAGTGACTGACCTTCAGCTGAGCTGGGGGAGCAGGAGAGTCCTGCTCCCACGTGGAAGGAGGGGTCAGAACACAGAGTGACAGTCCTGCAGGGTGGGAGATGGAGATTTGGGGGGAGATGGGAGGGATTCCCGTGGTGCACCCCCAGCAGCCTGGCTGGCCCACTCAGGAGCTGTGACAGAGCTTGTCCCTCCCTAGGCTGAACAGCAAGGTGAAGAAGAAGAGCCTGACATCATTTGAGAGGGACTCCATCCTCAGCAGCCTGATGGGCCAGCTGGACTACAAGGGCTTTGAGAAGGCAGACATGGTCATCGAGGCCGTGTTCGAGGACATCAACGTCAAACACAAAGTGCTGAAGGAGGTGGAGGCTGTGAGTGTCAGTCCTGAGCAGCCCCTGGATGGGAGCCCCTGGCTGGTGGAGGGTCCTGGGCTGTGCTGCTGGGTTTGTCCCCTCCCAGGTGATCCCTGCTCACTGTTCCTTGTCCCCCAGGTGATCCCTGCTCACTGTCTCGTGTCCCTTGTCCCCCTCAGGTGATCCCAGTTCACTGTCTCATGTCCCTTGTCCCCCCCCAGGGGATCCCAGCTCACTGTCCCTTGTCCCCCCGAGGTGATCTCAGCTCACTGTCCCTTGTCCCCCTCAGGTGATCCCTGCTCACTGTCTCATGTCCCTTGTCCCCCTCAGGTGATCCCAGTTCACTGTCTCATGTCCCTTGTCCCCCCCCAGGGGATCCCTGCTCACTGTCCTGTGTCTCTTGTCCACCCCAGGTGATCCCAGCTCACTGTCCCTTGTCCCCCCAGGTGATCCCTGCTCACTGTCTCATGTCCCTTGTCCCCCCAGGTGATCCCAGCTCACTGTCCCTTGTCCCCTCAGGTGATCCCAGCTCACTGTCCCTTGTCCCCCCAGGTGATCCCTGCTCACTGTCTCATGTCCCTTGTCCCCCCAGGTGATCCCTGCTCACTGTC